ATTCTTTTTCACTTGTTCTGAGTTTGCATTATGGCCCACGTGCTCTAGCCTTGGCCATGTGTCCATATCACATTTTTATTAATTATTTTGATTTTTATTTGAATTAATTTGATTTAAATCAAATAAAATCAAATAAAATCCAAAGCATTGATACCAATGGATTTTTTGACAGTTTCAGGCTTTAATCACAGCTAGCCAACCATCCCTAATTCGTATCAAGGCATAAAGGTACAAAAGGATTCAAATCAATCCAAATTTGGAAGGTTGTAAAAGGAGATCAAATCAAATATCAAAACATTAATAGAGGAAGATTTGGACAACCAATTCAAACCTAATGCATTGAGTAATACATAAGGGTCGTGTGCAGACTAAAACAAGGGTTGGAGATCAGATAGAGAGCAAGAACAAAATTTTCAAAAATACCAAAAAAGTGTGAGATCGAAACAGGGCTTAGAGGCAGTTTCAAGGCTTGGCAATTGTCTCAATCGTCTCCTGGCAATTTCCACAAGCGAAAGCAACCAAAAGCACACGTTTTCAGACCCTCACACGCGCTGTAAGTCACTCACGAACTCACCCTGTTCTTGAATTCACATCTTACAATTTAAGCATGGTTGATCTGAATTAATGGCATAATCTTAATCTACAGAGCATTTGCAAGCTTTTGGTATTATTCAATTGCATTTATATGACCTGAATCGAAATTCACCATAGCTAGGGTTTCGAGTTTGTTTTTAGGGCTTTTGTTTTCAGGTACAATTAGCCTACATAATGGTCATGGTTGTGATCAGAAGAAGATGACGAATCTAACCATGGTCCTTGAACTCATTTACATGGCCTGTGGGAGATTTTTGAATAAGCTTGGCTTGTAGCAACGAACAACAATGTCCGTGGGTATAGCCTCTTTGTTTTTTAGCCACGGTTCAAGGAAGGGGACGATGAGTTGTCATCCCCCCATTCGTCCATTCAAATTGCGCGCGCTTTTATTTTTATTTTCTGACCATTGGCTTTTGTTTTATATATTATATTTTGTTTATATTATACTAACAAATAGAAGCATGTGATCCAGTGGCAAGCGTGGCATGGAATTTCCTTCAGGACCTGGGTTTGAATCCCAGGTCCCCCTATTTTCTTCATAATATTTGTTTTCAGGAAATCTAGTGTGCACTCTAGCCTACCATCCACCATGGACTCTCACTCTTCAGCGTGCCAGATGGCCAGATGGCCAGATCTGGTGGTCAGTCTCAAAGGTGCACCAAAAGGCCAGTCAAACTCACATGCACTGGATTACAAAAAGTCAAACGGACCAGCATCATTGGGCCAGAATAATTGCTATTCACACCTCAAAACCAGGCCCATTCTCTACTTTTTTTCTTTATTTTGGTTATTTTTATTTAATTATTTTATTTAATTATTTTATTTTGTTTTATTTAATCCCTAACCAATAAACAAATTTATTTTTTATCAAAAAAATCACAAAAATATTTTTTACCCAATTAAAATTCAGAACTTTATTTTTCTTCATTAATAAATATTAATTAATTAATTAGGTTGATTAATTAGGTAACCTTAATTTATTTTGTAAATATTTATAATTAATTAGAAATTAATTAGGTTTTAACACTAATTTAATTATTTTATTTTCTTTCCTAAAATAACGAAAACTCCAAAAATATGTCATTTAATTTTTTTTCATTTAATTAATTTAATAATTAATTTAGCATTTAATTTTAGGATTTAATTTCTTTTCTTAAAAATAAAAACAACAAAAACATTTTCTTTAATTAAAAGGGTCAAAACCCTAATTTCACATTCGATATTTAATTTCGCATCACGCGCTTTATTTATCCAATTGATGTATATGCTTCTAGCTTGTAATAAATAATTAGGATATTTATTTATTTTTCCGCTTATTTTATTTTCAAAGAGTTGTTTTTGGCGATGTAAATACCCGACGCCTTGTAATAATTTAGTTTAAATTCTGCACCTTTAAATTTCTACAAATTATATAACTGCTAGATGTTTGGTAATAGGGTTTGCATGACAAGAATGAATGCTTAATCTTAAAAATGGTTAGATCACCCTTAACATGTGCAAAGATAAAAATAACTGAAATCAACACACTCGCACATGCGCACTCCTAGGGTACACCCCACTTGGTTGCCTTCGTAAACGGTCATTGAGCATAGGTTGTTTTAGAGGTCACCCTCTTGTCTAAAAGATCATAGTCGCCTCGAAAAGGTTGCCTCGGATATCATTGCCTCAAATAAATGATCTAAGACATTAGGGTTACCGCTAAGGCGTCCTAACGTTGCTTTAGTGATCGTATGTCCCTCTTTCGAATTGACCCTAAAACTTCAACGACGGTGCTACCTACTCACTAATAGTGGGATAGCATTATCTAAAAGGAAACAAGCATAGAACGATTCCTTTTTTGAGTAGGTAGATTAGGTCTTAGATACTTGCTAATCCAAAACAAATTTTTCACACTTACACTTTTACAAACAAGTTTTCAAAAACACTTCATTACACTCTTGAGGACAGAAGCAAGAGTTAAATCGAAGTTAAAAACAAAAACTTTTTCAAACCCACAAAACACAATGAAAACAATTTTGAAATGATGAGCAAGTACCTAAGAGCCCATGGAAAACCATGGATAGAAAGGGTGCTAATACCTTCCCTTTCTATAATCTACCCCCCCGTACTCAGAATAATCTCAAAAAAGGAATTTTTCTGTGCTTTTTTCCTTTCCTTGTTGGATAAAAAAAAAGTCAGTGGCGACTCTTGCTTACCGCGACATTTTGTAAAAACAAACACAAAACGCAAACCAGCATTCCAAAAACAGTCAGTTCTTTCCACCGTATCACACTTTCCATTATTGTTGAGCCTTTAAGAAAAAGAAAAAGAGAAACTTATTCACCCCCCCCCCCCCCTTCTAAGTGTTTTTCTCACGCTTCAGTTATGACTGAGTGTGGAAAGCTTCCACTAGCTCTTAAAGTGATCGGAGCTTCATTTGCAAAATTAGAATGAATTGTATTGGTTAAGCGATAAAATAAGGCTTTCTCAAGACTTAAGCATCGTCGAATCCTATGAACTTGATCTGACGGATAGAATGACAATTAATACTAATTACT